GAGAGGAAGATGAGACTTTATGGTCTTGTAAAGATTTACAGCTTTGGAAACCCTAAACAAGGTTGTTGTGATTGAAATTGACCCCATGGCGCCCCCTCCCGCACCATATGCATAGTATTCAGCGACAGTTTCATTTTTCATGGTGTGCCAACATTCTCATTATTTATATTCTGTTGGTTATATTTCCATTATTTTCTCGCGCTCTGTACCCTTACCTTCCTATCTTTGGTCAAGGGTAAATGTTGACCATTCGCTCAGAGCTGTTTATCTGTTGCTGGAAATCCCACGTGTGTCCACTTGTGGGCTGTTGTGAATTGTGTTGCAGTGACTCTGGTGTGACTGTGTCTGTCTCTGCGGCTGCTCTCAAGTCTCTTGGCTGTACATGGAATAGCTGGGACATCTGATGGTTCTGGGTTCAACTTTTCAGGGAGGCATCCAACTGTACCTTGTTATATTCCCACCAGTCATTGGTGAAATTTCCTGTTTCTCCACAATCTCATTAACACCTATTATTTTCCTTTTAAAAAAAATAAAAAATAATAATATTGCCATTCTAATAGAGGAAGATGGTGTCTCATTGTAGATTTGATTCTGGTAGCGTAGTGGTTACGAATCGGGCTGCGAACCGCAAGGTCAGCAGTTTGAAACTACCAGCTGCTCCGCAGGAGAAAGATGAGGCTTTCTGCTCCCATAAAGATTTACAGCCTCGGGAACCGATTCCACAGCACACAACGACAACAGCTAATGGAAGGAGCCCTGGTAGCACAGTGGGTTAAGCATTGGGCTGAGAATTACGAAGTCGACAGTTCAAACCTCCTAGGCGCTCTGTGGGAGACTGTTGAAGCTGCCAGCTCCTGTAAAGATTACAAGTCTCAGAAATCCTAAGTAGCAGTTTGGCTTTGCTCTGTAGAGTATCAGCTCAGTGGCAGTGGGTTTTTAAAGGGCTGCAAACAGCAACACTGACTTTGGCCATTTGAATATTCTCTTTGGTGAAATGTCTAGTCAAGTTCTTTGACTATTTTTTTGTGGATGTTTTTGTCTTTTCATTGTTAAGGTATAGAAATTTTAGATACCAAACTCTTACTTGGTTCCCCTAAATTTTCTCCTAATTTGTAGGCTACCTTTTACTTTGTCCATGAGTCCTTTTTTTTTTTTCCCCTCTTCTTCTATTCCCTCTGTGTATGTGTGTGTGTGTGTGTGTGTGTGTGTGTTTTGGGGGTGGTGGTGATGAAACACACAAAAACACTCAGGAATATATAATTATTTAAACAACCAAAGGGCACATTCTGCAAGCTTGCCTCCTGGCCACCAGCACACAGCTTTTCTGTTTCCATGAGTCCAGAGTCCTCAGCTACTCTTATCTCGCCATGTCATCATCTTTGCTTCCATCGCTGGTGTTGCTGCTTCTCTGGATATGGTCCCACATTCCGCTGTTGTTAAGTGCTGGAGTGTTGGCTCTGACTCATAGTAACCCTGTATAAGGTTTCTAAGGAGCGACTGGTGGGTTTGAACTGCTGACCATATGGTTAATAGTCCAGTGCTTATCCTACAGTGCCATACCAGGATTCTAGGTAACCGTAGGTATATGGATTTATTTTTGACTTTCAATTCTATTTCATTGGCCTCTATTTCTATATTTCTAAGCGCTGAACTACGAACTCACAGGGTCCACAGTTTGAGCCCATCAGCCACTCTGCAGGAGAAAGATGAGGTTACCTGCTCCTGTGAAGATTTAAAGTCTCAGAAATCCTGTGTAGGGTTGCTATGAGTCAGAACTACTCAGTGTCATTTAATAATAACAGCCAACCTGTTTTAATTGTTGTTGCTTTAGGTTGTTGTTGAACCGACTTTACGGTGCGTAACAACAAACTGTTGTTGTTAGGTGCTATCCAGTTGGTTCTGACTCATAGTGGCCCTTTGCACGACCGAAAAAAACACTGGTCCGCCCTGCACCATTCTCACAGTTGTTGTCATGTCTAAGCCCAATGTTGTAGCCACTGTGTTAGTCTATCTTGTTGGGGCTCTCTCCCCTGATAACATGTCCAAAGTATGTGAGATGTCTCACTAGCCTCACTTTCAAGGAGCATTCTGCCTGCATGTTCTCCAAGACAGATTTGTTTGTGTCTCACGACACTTGGATATTCTTTGCCAGCACCATAATGCAAACGCATCAGTCCCTTTCAGGTCTCCCTCATTCGTTGACTAGCTTCTACATGCACATGAGGCTGTTGAAAATACCATGGCTTTGGTTAGGTGCACCCTAGTGACTTCTTTGCTCTTGAGCACTTTAAAGGGATTATTTGCAATAGATTTGTCTAATGCTGTACATTGTTGGATTTTTCGACGGCTGCTTCCATGAGTGCTGATTATGGATCCAAATAAAGTGAAAAATTTGACTTCAATCTTTTCTCCTTTTATCATATTATTTGTTGATCTCGTTGTGAGGATTTTTGCTTTCTTATAATCCATACTGAAGACTGTAGTCTTTGATGTTCGTCAGTAAGTACCTCAAGCCCTCTTCACTTCTTGTAAACAAAGTTGTATTATTTGCAGATCACAGGTTGTCCTTGAGTCTTCCTCCAATCCTAATACCACGTTCTTCATATAATGTTGGATTTGCTCAGCATACAGAGATTGAATAAGTATAATGAAAGACTATAACCCTGGTGCAAACCTTTACTGATCTTAAACCATTTAGTGTCCCCTTGTTGTGTTCTGATGACTGCCTCTTGGTCTGTGTATGTTATTCAGTTCTCTTGTCTTGACAAGTGCTGAGCATTGGTTTTCTGACTAGGTGTTTTCACTTTTCATTACCATATCTTCTCCAGAGCCCTTTGAAATTTCTGTGCAGCTCGTTCACTACATCGTTTCTTGCAGTTGCTTTAGCTTCCGTTCAAGAGCAATTTTCAGAGTCTCTTCTGACATCCACATGGTCTTTTCTTTTTCTGTCGTTTTAATGATCTTTGGCTTTCTTCATGTATTACGTTCTTGATGTCAGTGTCTAATGCATCAAATCTGTTCTTGAGTTGGTCTGTAATTTCAGGTGGGATATCCTCAAGATTGTATTTTGGTTCTGTGGACTTGTTTGAATTTTCTTTGGCTTCAACTTGAACCTGCACACGAGCAATGAATGGTCTGTTCCACAGTCAGCTCCTGGTCATTTTTTTTGACTGCTGACGTTGAGCTTCTCCATAGTTTCTTTCCACAGATATAATTGATTTGATTCCCGTATATTTCACTGGTGAGGTATTGTTGCTCTTTATATTGCTGAAGTAGGTATTTGCAGTGAATAATATCAGGATAAAGCATGCCTCGTAGAAGGAGTTGCAGAGTGTACCCTTCCCTCTGCTTCTATTTTTCAGAAAAATTTAAGTAGGATTGGAGTCACTGTCTGAAAATGGTAGAATTCCAGAGTCAAGCCGTTTGCTCCAGGAGTCTTCTTTGTTGGGGAATTTTTGATTACTCTTCACTTGTGGGTGTGTTTAGATCCATGATTTCTTCTTAAGGTAGAGTAAGGAGTTGATGTGTTTCAAGGAATTAGTCCATTTCCTCTTAATTTAACTAATTTCTTGGCATAAATTCACCCTAGCGTTCCTCAGAACTCACAGGGTTTTCAGTGGCAGATTTTGGGGAAGGAGATTTTCAGGCCTCTCTTCTGAAGTGCCACCAGGTGTACTTGAACCTTTTGGTTAGTAGCCGAGCATGTGACCTGTTTACACCACCCAGGGCCTCCTCTGTGGTGTATCCGATGGGATTGGACAATTTGTAACCTCTTCGGGCTGCCTTTTCCACTTCATTCATATGCCTCCAGTTGCTGTGAAAGGATGCCAACGACCCAGAATTGTGTTGAGGTTCTTCAAGCCTCTGCTCTGTATGTTGGTTCTCCACCCCCTTATCCCTACTGTTGTCTGATGTTCAGCAGTTTGCTTATTCTTGGGTATTCCTCCCTCCCCAGAGAGGACAGCCTCCATGAGGGTAGGACCTTTGTTTTTCCTCTCTGTCCCAGTGCCTAAAGTAGGATCTTGTACATTGCAGGTGCTCAGTAATCACTGGTTGAAGGAATGATTCAATTTAAAGGCCTGAGTTGGAACAAAGAGGTGGTGGTGGTGGTTGGCCATCAAGTTGGTTCCAACTCATAATGACCCTGTCTAGGTTTTCTCCAGTAAAGCGACTGGCAGATTCAAACTGCTGACACTGTAGTTAGCAGTCCAACTCATAACCACTGTGCTACCTAGGCTCCTAGGAAGAAAGAGGAAGTGGCATTATTTTGAGCTCTCATGCCAGCTGGTGCATTTCATAGCTGTCTTATTTCAACCTGGCAGAGGCCCTTTGATATTGGGGCCCCCTCCACTGAGTGCAGCCTGAGTGGGAGAGAGGCTGACTTACTCTCGCAGGGCCGTGTAGCCAGCTATGGCTAGAGTTTTGAACCCAGACCTGACTGACTGGGCAGCTAGGTGCACGGCACTGCCACCAACCTTGTCACTTTCTTGTCCTTGAAGAACTTTGAGGTGGAAGCTGATGACCTGGTGACCATCTCGGAGCTGGGCCGAGGAGCCTATGGCGTAGTGGAGAAGGTTCGACATGCCCAGAGTGGCACCATCATGGCTGTGAAAGTGAGCAGAGCACACCCATCCCAGCCCTGCTGCGGAATACTGGAGCTGGGAGGCACCTGGGAGGGCTGCCTGGAGGAGGAGTGGGAGCAGAGCCTGACATACAGACTCTCAGACCACTGGTTTTTCTTTCAGTCGATGAACCCTGGTTGGTTCTCGACTCTGGCCTTCTTGCATCATAACCAGTGATGGGACAGAGCTTTCCAGGGTGCTGGCTCTCAGAGCTCCTGGCTCCTGACCCCAGTGCATCCATGCCTCTGAGCCATGTCTCCTCCCTCCCCTTCTTCCCCCCAGCGGATCCGAGCCACCGTGAATTCACAGGAGCAGAAGCGGCTGCTCATGGACTTGGACATCAACATGCGGACGGTCGACTGCTTCTACACTGTCACTTTCTATGGGGCCCTTTTCAGAGAGGTGCGGCCCGTCAGCGGGAGGGGTGGGGGAGGATGGACAGGTGCCCACTCACCTTGCCCCATCATCCACCATCTATTGTTGTCATTTTGCCCACACAACAAACCTGTTGCATGTGGCAGTTGTTGTTGTGAAGTGCCATCGACCCATAGCAAGTCTCCAAGGAGCAGCTGGTGAGCCTGAACCACTGACCTTGCAGTTCAGACGGCTTTGCAGTCTGGTACATTAACACACAGCGCCACAGCGTAAATGGCAGAGTGCCTGCCCACTCAGAGGCAGAACCATTTGGTTCTTAGGAGACAGACTCCTGGCTCTCCCTCTGACTGCTTCTCGGTGCCTCAGTTTCCCCATCTGTAAAAGAGGTCAATAATTGTCTCTCCCATCTAATGTTGTCTTCCATATTTGATGTCACAGCATGGCCCTGACCCATAGCAGGGGCTCTGCACAGAGAGTTTGCTAGGACCATTCTCCTCAGCAACAGGGGTTTGGCTGGAGCGAGGGGCTTGGGAGTATAGGGGCTTCAGGGCCACATCCTGGGTCTGACAGGTGCAGGGACCACAGTGGGAGGGGCTACGGACAAAGTCCGGGTTCTGAACTAGAGCCCCCAGTGAAAAGGGCTGCAGGGGCAGGTCCTGGAGCTGAGCTGGCTCACTTGGACGGACCCAGTTGGCTTGTGTTTTCTTCCCTTCTTCCTGGAAAGTGCGTGGAATTAGGAATCTGGTGAGGGGGGCGGAGGTGACAGAGCAGTGGGAACAGCGTTGGGGGGCAGGGCCAGAGAGAAGCGGGTGGATGGAGATAGCTTGAGAGCAGGATGGAAGGACTCCAGTGTGGAGCTCAGTCCAAGTAGGGACTACAGGCAGGGTCAGCCTGAGCTGACTTCCAGCTTCCATCCCCAGGGCGATGTGTGGATCTGCATGGAGCTCATGGACACCTCTCTGGATAAGTTCTACCGAAAAGTGCTGGATAAAGGCATGACAATTCCAGAGGACATCCTGGGAGAGATTGCTGTGTCAGTAAGTGGCCACAGAGTCCAGCTGGCTGGTGGTATCCAGGACAGAGCAGGCCTCCCCCACTGTGCAATCCCTAAACTTAGGCTATTGCTTCTGGGTCCCAACCCAGTCAGAACTGCTTGCTGAGGGGATCCTGAGGCCAAACAGCCTTCGTACCTCCAGGTCTCTTTACCTTCCCCATAGCTTTCTCCTTCAAAGCAGCCAGTGCGCTTAAACTGCCAACCTTTTGGTTAGCATTAAATTGCTTAACCACTACCCCACCAGGACTCCTTTGGGAAGCTTTTCAAAAAGGAATTGAGTATTTACCACTTTCTCATTCTCAGAGTGCCTAGTAGTGCAAGTAGAATGAGAGGAAAGCATGATAGAGAAGAGCTGAATTGGGGAGAGGTTAGCATCCAGAGCATATGCCTGCTGAAACAGTCAGCTTTCCCAGAGACGAGTGAGCACTGCAGCAGCCGGGGTGTTAATGAATGGATCTCCACCTAGGCTGGATCTGCAGGGGTGGGGAGAGGAGCAGGTGACTGCAGACACCTGACACAAACCTGGTTGGAGTGCTGATGGCCCTGGTTTTGTCACAGATCTGGGACTCTTGTTGAGGGGGGTGGGAAAAGTTGTCTCAGGCATGAGCGTGGCTGTGTGGAGAAGGGTCCATGATGGCTGGAAATAGCCCTATCTGTCCCTTGACTATAGATCGTGAGGGCTCTGGAGCATCTGCACAGCAAACTCTCCGTGATCCACAGAGGTGCGTGCGGACAGGGGAAGGGCTTGGGAGGTACCTCCCGGCAGGGTCTTGTGGAGGGCAGGGGGAGGGGAATGGAGGGTGGTCTTATCATGGGGAATTTATGGGAGCAGGTGAGACTTGTTAGTGTCCATCACCTTGTCTGGGTCTGTTGGCTGGCTGGACTTCTCCCCATTGTCAGGGTGAGCACACCATCTTAGGGAGGCTCATGCGTGATGTGCCTGGCGGGGTCAGGAGCTGAGTCTGAATCCCAGTCCATGGCTCCTCCCCCTTCGGCCCCCTATGTGCCAGCACTACCTGGGCATCTCTGCCCCTCTTGGCGTCTTCTAGAACCTGTGGGTGCTGCTAGGGGGACCCCTGACTTTCTCAGCCAGTGGTGTGATGGAGGGAGCGGGCTCATATCCCATATGTGCCACTATGTGCCACTGTGCACTATGGGACATGAACAAATGACACCACTTCCAGGGCGCTAGATGGGCACTGGGCTGGTAGGTCCTGATGTGCTCTGGCACAGCTAGTGCCACACCCACACCAGGACCCTGTGGATGGGAACCAAGATAACCAACCGCCTCTGTCTCTGCAGATGTGAAACCCTCTAATGTGCTCATCAATAAGGAGGGCCATGTGAAGATGTGCGACTTCGGAATCAGTGGCTACCTAGTGGACTCTGTGGCTAAGACAATGGATGCCGGCTGCAAGCCCTACATGGCTGTGAGTGCTGCCACCCCCTGGGCCCTGGGGGCACCACTACCACCAAGCAGTTCCACTTACACATGTCACTATTGTGCTCCAAACTACCTCCGTTTGGAGGGTAAACTGGGAAACACTTCTTCTCATGGGCCGTGCAATCCCTTTCCGCTGCCCAGGAGGTGGGTCCTGCAGCCCTTCCCCCTAGCAGGTTTGTGAACCAGGTCCTACCTTCACTGTGTGACTCTGGCCCTTGCTGGCCTCAGTCTCTGTCTGTCATGTGAGTTGGAGGAGGGAGGAAGAAGACAAAGTTCCTGGGCCTTGGGTGGCTCCTCTGGGCCCTTTCACCCTGGAGTGGGTGGTCCTGATTCACTGTCCCTCCAACAGCCGGAAAGAATCAATCCAGAACTCAACCAGAAGGGCTATAACGTCAAGTCCGATGTCTGGAGCCTCGGCATCACCATGGTAATGGGGTCCCTCCCTTGCTGCTCAGGAAAGGGTAGGGGGGATGTGGCTGCATCTGTGAGCTCTTGGAATAGCATAGTTTAGGTCCTAAAACTCTGAGAAAAGGTGCCATCAAAATGACCATGCGTCTAAGAACATTGTGTAGGTGGTTAGATTTTGATGTCCTGAGATAATGTGCCCATTAAATAAGTAAAGCTGCTTACTTAGGGAGGGTTTCCAAGAGCTCAAGAAATCATAGCCAGTTGTAGTACATTAAATGAGTTTGTGTATACATGATTATGATTATTATTTTGCTTGGCTTTGCCAAAGCAAAAGGATGAAAACTGTTTCAGAGCTTTAGGAGTGAGTTGTTTGTGGAGCCCAGATATCTTTCCTTAGGTTTGGTAGGTAAGCTTCTCAGCTCTGGGCCTACAGAGCCTGAAATGCCACGATTGAGAGGTAAGGGCTGCTGTCCACCCATCACAAGTGAGCCTGGAAGGGGAGAGAATATTGCTGGTTTCCTCTCTGTACTGTGGTTTGCCACTGGGTTAATCAAGGCACAGGGAGGACCCTAGGCTTTTGTGCACCTGTTTTGCCCAGAAACTCCCCACTTCTTCCTGAGTCAGGGCTCAGCAGAGATCAGGCTCAGGATCGTAATTTTTGTATTCACATTTGCGTTTTAGAACACTTGCTCTGACAGCAGTGGAGAGTGGATTTAGGGGGTCAGGAAAGACGTGGTAGGTGCTTCCCTGGCCTGTTTTCTGGGAATAAGTGGGCCCTGTGGAGAAAGTGGAGGCTAGCAGCATGAGGCAGGGTGCCAGGCAGCTAGAGCAATTGCAGGTGGGACTGATGGTGTATCTGGGTGTGGACTTACCCTCTAGTACCTTTCCTGCTCTGGAGATCCTGGGCCATTTCCTGTCTGTCCCATCCCTCTATGTTTAGAGAAGGGACTCGGTCAGTAAACAACTACCCAGATGCAGGGTGACCCAGGGTTTGGGAATGTGTGGGGCAGGAGAAGGGATGGGAAGTGATGGGTCAGGGTCTACTCCAGGTAAGGAGGCCAACAAAGGCCCCTGGTGTGGGGGAGCAAGGGAATCTGAAGGCAAACAGAGCAGCAGGTGCGAAAGGCCCTAAGGTGTCCATTTGCCTGGTGTGCCTGGATGGCTGGATTTGAGAGGAGAAGGATAGGGGAGAGGAGCTGGGAGCAGTGTTGAAGGGTAGATGTAGGGTCAATGAAAGAGTTTTAGATTTTACTGACAATGTTTTTACTATTCTGTGACTGCAACTTTATAAACCTTTTCTTTCAGGGTTTTATATATGTCTCCCCATTGCCTTCTTGCTTACATGGTTTCTGCTGAGAGACCCGAGCTTAATCTGACTTGCTTGCCTTTGTATGTGACACTTCTGTTTTCCCTGGCTGCTTTCAGAAGTGTCTCCTTATCTTTGAGTTTGGAGAGCTTGCCGATGATATGTCTTGATGATTTTATTTTGGGGTCTACCCTTCCTGGAGTTCTTTGAGCTTGAATGTTTTTGTTTTCACTTTTCAGGATGTTAGAGAAATTTTCTTCCAGCACTTCTTCAACTATTTCCTCTGTGGACTTGTTTGATTCTTCTTGTTCTGGAATGCCAATAATTCTTAAGTTATTCCTCTTCATGTTGTCCAACATAAATCTTAGACCTACCTCAGAATTTTTTATCCTTTTTTGTGTTTGTTCTTTTATCTTAGTGATACTGAGAGATTTGTCTTCCAGCTCACTGGTTCTGCCTACCATCTCACCTATTCTACTTCTCTGCCCTTTCAGAGTGTTCTTTATTTCTGTTATTTTGTTATTGAGTGTTTGGACCTTTTTCTGTAGGTTTTGAATTGTTTCCAATGCTGTATCTATCTTATTTGATTGTTCCTGTAGCACTTTCCTGACTTCTTCCTTATTTTTCTCAACTCCATTGTAAAGTGTTTTGAAACATTTTATAATCATTTTTCTGAATTCTTTCTCAGGCATTTCCAAGGCCTGCCCTCCTTCCAGAATGGAGTCCAGGTCTACCTCTAGGTCATTTGTCTCAGACATTTTATCTTTTTTCTGGACATGTGCTGATATGGTCATCTGCTTTTGCTTCTTGGACATGTTTAGTGTTTGTCTGTGGCCTTAATACTTAATTGAGTTTGTGTTTTGGTAATTTTTTATGCTTTCTGATTGCTTCCAGGAAGATGTGATCAGTATGTGGGCGTCCCTTTTCACTCTTCTTATTGCTTAACTCAGAGTAACTTTCACAAGTGTTGTCTGTTTCCTTGGTGTATGGCAGTTGGTATTGATTCCTGCCTGGGTTTTGGTGTTTTATAGAGTGTGATTGTAGCTTGGTTATATGGCAGCAGTTGCTGACTCTTCTTGTGTAATAGGGAGTAAACCTTTTCTATAGACAGTGACTGGAGAGTAAATAAAAGTTTTGTCAGGAAGGTGGAATTGGGATGCTCCCTTAGTTTATACTTAATGTTGTTGCTGCTTCTTGTTGTTAAGTGCCACTGAGTCAGGTCCAATTGATAGGGACCCTGAATAGGGTTTCCGAGGAGCAGCTGGTGATGGTGGTTCAGACTGACTTTGCTGTCGAGCGCTTATCCTACTGCGTCACTCCTAGTATTGTTGAGACATCATGTTTTCTGTTAAGCTTTTTTTCGTTTTGACATAGAGATGAATATTCAAAGCTTGAAGGGGTGGTACTGTACCTGTAGATAATGAGTTTTCTAACTCCTGTTGTTGTTTTTATGTGCTGTGGAGTCGGTTCCAACCCATAGCTACCCTGAACAGGGTTTCCGAGGCTGTAAATCTTTACAGGAGCAGAAAGCCTCATCTTTCTCCCGCGGAACAGCTGGTAGTTTCCAACTGCCGATTTGAAACCACTACGCTACCAGAGCTCCTTTTTCTAACCCCTGAGTTGAAAATGAAAAGAACCGATGTATTTTATACAATGAGACCACACAGAACTGGCAGTACGCAGGAGATCTAACCCACAATTGTGTGACACACACTCCTGCTTCCCCACTCTCCCTACTTTCGTTTGACCGTCAGCATTATTGGGTACCCACCCTGTCCCAGTGCTCTCCTCACAGCCACACTGGAACTTGGCCAAGTTTGTGTGAAGTGTGTGTTTCAGGTGTCGGACGCTTCCCGTCAGTCCACTCCAAAACCTAGGAGAAACAGCAGTCAGTATTTCTTGAGTATCTGCAATGTGGTGAGGTGACTCTTCTGCCCCACCTGGTGGTGGCTGAGCCAAGGGACCCAGAAACCTTTAGAGCCAGGGTGCCTCTTGGTGTGGCCTCCTCTCACCATGGAGTGGTCAGGAGAGCAGGAACTTTTTACTAGTGCCAGACTTCTGAAAGGAAAGTCCTCCTCACGGCCTGGCCTGCAGCTCCCTCAGCACCACTTCTGTTTCATTTAATTGACCAAAGCTAGCCATAGACTGAACTGGACTCGGAAAGTGGCCCATCACATTGGCCCAGAGGAGCTAAGGACTGGTGGCCTCACTTTCATCTTTGGTCTGATGCTGTTGTGTCAGAAAAGTCTGCCAAAGCAGCCCCTTGGCCTGCATGGTGACCTAGCTCCTGGAGCCAGCCCTGGGTGGGCAGGGTAGATAGAGCTGGTGACCAGGGCCATGCTGACCGTGTGCTGCCACCGTCTGTCTGCAGATTGAGATGGCCATCCTTCGGTTTCCTTATGAGTCCTGGGGGACCCCGTTCCAGCAGCTGAAGCAGGTGGTGGAGGAGCCGTCCCCCCAGCTCCCAGCTGACCGTTTCTCCCCTGAGTTTGTGGATTTTACTGCCCAGTGGTGAGTTTCTTGTCCTTCTCAGGCCTCATTCTGCACCCCTTTCTGACCCTTCTCTTTTTTAATAACACACTCCAAAGCGTCTTAGTATGGGACTATATGAGGTAGAAATTTGACAACACATTGATTCTGGTTGAAGACTCTTAGTACAATTTTTTCAGCAATGGACAAAACTTGGTAGACCAAGATAAAAGTTAATATGGATGATTTGACTAGCATAGCAGACAAGTTGGCTCTCCTAAACATTTAGAACTGTACCAAATTAAAGAATGCTTGAAGGACTCTTAGGAACATAAATCAGGTTTGAATTTCTAAAGGAAACTACACAGGCCTTGTTCTTTGATCAGAGTGAAATAAAACTAGGTAAAGAAAAGCTACCTGGAACTTAAAATGAAGTTCTTCTAAGTAAGTCTTGGGCTAAGAGATTTATAAAAAAAAATTACAACTAGAAGTGAAAAACAAATGAGAACACAGAATATCAACACATATGCATGTTGTGGACTTTTCCCCATTGTCAGGACGAGCACTTAGGGGAAAATTCATAGCCTTTATTTCTCATCAGGAAATAAGGAAGACTGAAGACAACCCAGGCTTTGGCTATCCCGACCCCTTTAATTGTGGCCTCATCTCAATAGGAAAAGAAATTTCCTCTTTAGATGAAGGGCTTTGAGTCTGATTATAGATGTGGTTGTAAGCATAGTATTACACTGTCAGAAGGGCTTTTGGAAATTCCTTAGATGGTTAATAGAGACAAGGATACTTCAGGCCTAGAGAGGTGAAGAAACTTGCCTCAATCTCTGTAGTTTGCATCCAGGGGCTCCATTCCTTGGGAGCCCCCCAAATTGTTGCATTCTTCCTCTCTGAGCCCAGGATCACTTGTGTGCTAGAGTTGGCTTGCTTGGGGAGGTAAGACTCTGTACCCCTAGCCTTAGCCTGCCTTGCTCTCTCCTAGCCTGAGGAAGAACCCCACGGAGCGCATGAGCTACCTGGAACTGATGGTGAGTGTGGGATGGACCCCTGTCTGCCCTCCTTTGGGGATCTCATGTCTGGAGATGGGCATCTGTACTAATTCATTCGTGTAGCTAGTTACTCCAATTTGCATTTATTCATGTACCCTTGTGCTCCATGCTCTGCCAAGCCATGCAGAAGTCAATGCCAGGGGAGGTGGTGTGGAGGGTCCAGAGGAGGGGGAGTTGCTTTCCCAGATGCATCAGGGAAAGGCTTTACAGAGGAGGTGCTATTTGAACTGGGTCTGGGAAGATGAAGAAGGGTTACCCATGAATAAAAGCTACAGTGGAAGGTTTATTGTAGGCAGAGGCCTGGTGTGTGTGGAGAAAGTGAGAAACTTAGTTTGGCTGGAGGGTAGCTGCAGGCAAGCCACAGGAAGCCCCAAACCCTGCTCCGTCTAATAAGACAGACTTCAGGGACAGAGGTTCCGGAAGGATGAGTTGGTGTGAGCCATGCAGGAGAAGGGGGTCCTGGGCTGGAGGGGGCAAGCAGGGGCTGAGCTGTCTCTCCGGACTCCATCCCTGGTGACTGTACCTTCTTCTCTGGCCCACAGGAGCACCCTTTCTTCACCCTGCACAAAACCAAGAAGACAGACATTGCTGCCTTCGTGAAGGACATCCTGGGGGAGGACTCCTAGGGGAGGGGGCGCTTGGAGCCCCTCAGCCCATGTCTGCTGGGGCAGTGCTGGCTCACATCTATAAGCTATTGCCACTTGGCCTCAGGGTGCAGAGGAGCTGGGGGTCTTGGCCCTCCTGGTTGCAGCAGGCTGTCTTCCCAGTCTGAAAAGTGGCCCGTAGGGATGCCCAGCTGGGCCCTGGGACCCCTGGCCCAACCAGTGCCTCTGCCCTTGCTGCTTCAAGGACTCCAAATCTGTAGACTCCAAGAGCCTGGACTCAGAGAATCATGTTCGTTCAGCCGCAGTTCCTTTGTGGAGCTCTGGGTAACCCGTGCTGGACATTGCTGCCCCCGGCAGCCTGTGTGGACAGCTGCTGTACTGGCTTGGCCCCAGATGCCACCAAGTTGTATAATTTTTTAAATCTCCTGACTAAATGGACTTTGCACACTTTGGCCCAGCATCGGTAGGGGGACACGATGGGATGAGCCATGTGCATCACTCAGGATGTCCTGGCCTTCACCCAGCACTGGCACCCTGGCAGACAGGGCCTGGCAGGGCATCCGGTTGCCAGTCCCCTCCCCCCTGAACTTTAGGGGCAATTTGTTTTTTGTTTTTTTAAATTATTTATCCTCTGTTGGTTGTTTCTTTTGCTTTGTGGGTTTGGCTGCGTTGTTTTTTTTTTCTTTGTGCTTTTTTTCTCTCTTGCATGATTTGGAGCCTATGAAGCCCATCACCTCTCTCCCTCTTTCCCCCTAGGGGACCAGAGGACCAGGCCTGCCCCTTCTGCCCCAGGGGTACCGTCCAACTTGGTCTCCTGGGACTGGCTTGATGGGGGCTGTGGAGTAGCCTTAGTGTTTTTGTTTTTAAAAAGGAAAAATCTATTTTTTTGCAGAAAGAACTGACCATTCTGGGGCCCTCTCCCTGACTGGTTGGTATAATTGCCTGATTGCTGTTTTAATTAAAAAAGAAAAAAGAAAAGAAAGTGGAACAAAGGGTTGTGTGAGACTCTGTGGCACAGTGTGAGACAGTAATCAGCCCTTTTCCTCTTTGGGAATGGAATGTGTTTGGCCCCAGAAGGTCCCTTCACCCTATGGTAAGGCCTGGGCAGTGTGGTCAGGAGTTGGGGCCACTGACTTACCAGGACCGTGTCCTTGGCAGGCCTTTTCCTGAGGAGGAAACAAGAGGGTCATGGCAGGGTGTTGCATTCCAGGCCATGTGGGTGCCAGAGCCGGTGGGCACTGTGGGACACTGCTATTCCCAGTTGGTGTGGGAAGTGAGTCATGCTCTCACTGAAAGAGTGGGCAACCTGCCAGCTGCCATGGCCAGCCCCTCATGTTCTTCCCTCCCTCCGTGTTCACTGCTCAGTCTCAGAGTTCAGGGGGGAGCTAGTTCCATTAAGTGAAGTAATTAACACAAACACGCACAGTTCGTCAGGGACAAAGGCCAGGATTCAGGGGATTTGTACCTAGACCATGGCTTCAGAGAGATCATGGAAGTTAAGTTCTAATTTTTTGTGGGAGCACATATGGAGGAAATTTAGCATGAGGAAGCAGGAATTTGGTTCATTCCAGTTTGAGCCACTGTTGAGACTTTGCGTTTCCACCCTGCTTATCCTGAATGTCTTCAACGCTTTAATGAGGTCTTGTGCAGCAGATTTGCCCAATGCAGTATGTTGTTTAATTTCCTGACTGCTACTTCCATGAGTGTTGGAAGTTGATCCAAGCAAAATGAAGTCATTGACAACTTTAAAGTGTCGAAGAGCAAAGATGTCAGCTTGAGGACGAAGGCGAACCTGACCCAAGCCATGGTATTCTCAATAACCTCATGCATGCAAAAGCTGGACAGTGAATAAGGAAGACCGTTGAAGAATTGATGCATTTCAGTTATAGTGTTGGAGAAGTTTGGAAGTACCATGGACTGCCAAAAGAACAAATAGATCTGTGTCGGAAAAAATACAGCCAGAGTGCTCCTAGAAGCCAGGATGGCCAGACTGCGTCTTTCATGCTTTGGATATATTGTTAGAAGGGACCAGTCCTTGGAGAGAAGGGTATGTTTGGCAAAGTGGAGGAGCGGAGAAAAAGAGGAAGCCGCAATGAGATGGATTTGACACATCAGTGGGCTCAAACGTAGCGACGATTATGATGTTGTTCCAGGATCCGGCAGTGTTTTGTTCTGTTTTACATAGGGGCACTATGAGTTGGTACTGACTCGATGGCACCTAACAATAAAAAATACACTGAATGAGAATCTACATTTTAACAAGGTTCCCAGGTGATTCTGACAGACTCATGAATCCCATGATTTTTGTGTATATATGGGAGCCCTGGTGTGGCATTGTAGGATAACGCACTGGACCACAGGGTGGTTTTGAAACGTAAGGTAGGTGGTTTAAACACACCAGCCACTCCTTACCCTTTACACAGGGTTGCTATGAGTCACAACCAACTCGATGGCATTTAACAACATGAGAGTCAGGATCTTGTTAAAATGTAGATTCTGAGTATCTAGGGTGGAAATGCAGATTCACAGCAGTGGTTCAAACCGGAGTGAATCAGAGTTTTGTTGAGGAAGGGATGATTGAGCTAAAATTTAAAAAGATGAGGGTTGGTACAGGAGGGGAAGGGAATGGGAGAGAGAAGGGTTCCAGGCAGAGGGAAGCCCTGTGGGCGTGGTATGAGAACGTGAGCGCTGTGGGGTGAGAGGAGGCCAGGGAAGGCTCAGATGGAAATTCCAGCTCCTCCGTTGAACTAATTTCTATGGACCAATCTGAGCCCAGCCCGTCATGTCATCTGAAGACCACTAGAACTCCTTGTACCCTTCGAGATGGTATCCAGTTTCATGCCACAGATGGAGAAACAGACTTGGGGACCACAGAGGCCTCTGGTGGAGTCAACCCTGTTTACCTCCCCATGCCGGGCTCATCCTGGCTCTGCAATCCTTGAGACCTGGCCCGCTGCAGAAGGACATTTATTTGCTAAACAAACAGAACTTTGGCTTCAGGCACAATTAGGCCCATGAACTCAATTAACCTAATGTCTTGAAGAATTTTTATCCACTGTGGTTGCTTTGCTCATGCTCAGTTTCACTTTTCCCTCAGACTGGTCATGACCTCTGGTGCCCGCCAGCAGCACAACAAATGGGCTCAGCCTGACAGCCCTAGTCCCAAGGCTGCTCTCATTGGCCGGGAAGGGGGTCACATGATTCTCTCAAAGCCAATTGCAAACCAGCAGTGGGTGTGAATCGGGAATTGCCCTGCCACATCTGGCCTGAGTGCAGCATCCTGCTGGGCTTCATCCCAGAAGGAGGGCATGGGTCTCCTTGAAGAGATCCCTGGCCCTCTTCACTCTTCTCACCTTCACAAGTCTATGGCTTCCAAGTTGTACCTGGCTGAGACAGGCCTCTGCCTGCGAACATTTCTCTGAGTTAAAACTCAAAGGGCATTTGTCCCTTTTCTTTCTCGGAGTAGGAAATGTACTGGACAGCTAATGGCTAGGTCCCTAGTTCAAACCTACCAGCTGTCCCATGGAAATCCTGTATAGGATTGCTGAGACTACCTAACAGCACTCAGTAAGATTTGCTTTTACCACAGACCCTTTGCACTGACTGTACCCTACCCCCAAATCTTCCTGTGGCTACTTCCCATCACCATTGTTATCTCCTTGGAACTCTATTCGTAACTACTCTGACTTGGATAGCCTCCTCCCAACCCATTTCAGCATAACTAGCTAATTACCCTTGCACTGGGCAGTTGGTCCGGCCACTGCACGGTGAATATCGGGCCGAGAATAGTGCCAGACTCCTGGAGCGCGCTCCGTCGTCTATAGTGAGGACACGGATAAAGAAGTGTGGGAGTGAGTGAATCCATTGCATTGTGCAAGAACTCCCCGCCCCGTTTTTCTCATTATTGGTTATGGAGTTTTGTGACCACCAGGCGGCGGCAAAGCTCAGACCATAATCGGGAGCCCTGCCGAACCAGCTCTAGTTACCTAGCCCTGGGCTCTGCAGACCCTGATTGTGCATGGGAAAGGTAATGTGAGTAAGGTGGAATGGGGATAGCGATGGGTTTTTTGGGGAAGTAGGAAGAGGCCTTCGCTGGGGCTCTACTCAGCCCGTGCATCGGAGTCCACTGACCTGCTTGTCCTCTACGGACGCAGCTGACTACTCTAGGCATGCATCCATTTTAGGGTGACAGGGCGTGGATTCATCCACAGATTCTTGCAGGGGGCACAACTCTCAAATCTGGCAAATCTCTCGACATTTTACAAAGTATTCTATCATTTGTAAAGCACTCTACAATTTACAAAGCATTGCTGTAGGACCAGCGCTGCACTGTGAACCACAAGGTCTGCAGTTCAAACCCACCAGCTGCTCCTTGGAAACCCTACACAGGGTCCCTCTAAGTCGGAACTGGCTTGATAACACTTAACAGCAACACTTGGATAAGCACTGGAGAACTAACCACAAGGTCGGTGGTTCAAACTCACCGGCCCGTCCTAGGAAGTCTTATGCAGGGTGTATGAGATTATAAGTGGCATTTAACAACCGTTTCAAAGTACTTTGTAGTTCACAAGTTACTCTATAGTCTGCAAGGAACTTTTCAGGTACAAAACACTTTACAGTTCTTGTTTTTTAATGAAGGTTGAAGGTTTGCAGAACAGATCCTCAGTCCCACATCCAACAAATTACATACTTCATGTCATTACATTGATTGCAATCCACTCCATGGACGATACCTCGATTCACTTTAACTCTTGCATTCTTCCTCCCACCCCCACCCCACCCCAGGTAACCATCATAGAATGTTTCTTTTAGCAAGAAAATATTTTCTTAGCCTTTTACAGTTGTTGTTAAGTGCCTTTTACAGTGGTCTCATGCAATACTTGTCCTTTTGTGATTGATTTCATTTAGCATAATGCCCCTCAGGTTCATCCATGTTGTAAGATGTTTTGCAGATTCATCGTTATTCAAAACTTCGTAATATCCCATTGAGCATGCGTACCAAAGTTTAACCATTTTGTTGATGGCATTTAGATGGTGTCCATTTTCTTGC